GAGAGGATGGTGTCAGAAGTTATGTAAATTTGATTATTGCTTTTCAAATTGTTCTTAAGGTGCGTTTGTGGCGAGTAATTTAAAACTTTAATTAATGTTAGCCTTATCTGTGGACATCTGCTTTTTCTTTTGCAGAAGACCCAGTGTAAAGTCTCCAGGTCTCGTCACTGCTGGTTTCAGGTGAGATGCAGCCTAACGTTAAAGGCTTTATAATAAACAATGGTTTGTAAAGTGCTTCTGTGATGTTGTAGCACTGGGCTCTGAACTCATGTGAAGACATAGTGCAGTTCTGCTCCTGACATGGCAGAATCTGAGAAGCGCTGTTGAAGTGGAATCCAAAAAGCCATTAAATGTGACATGCGCTATAACCTTTTTTTTTTCTTTTTTTTTCTTCTTTCAGAGTGGAATCTGGTGACATGTGAGCGTGGCCTGTGTACGAGCTTCCGCCTTTCTGCAAATGCCATTTTAATTTAAGATTCATTTTTCGACAAAACATGCTGTTAACTCGTGTAAATGTATAGCTCTAACCCTGTTTTTTTTCTAATAGATTGACTACCATTAAATGAGACTTTGTAACCCGTCAAGCTTGCTGTTGGTTTCAGATTACTTGATTTGGAAAATGCTGTTAGTGTTCCCACAAGTCATTGAAAATGGTCAAAGCTGATTATAGTTTATTGTACATTTAACATTGTGCTTAATCTAAAATGTGTATTGGCTAAAAAAAGAAAGTGAAATGACCTGGAAAGAAGTGAGAACCCTGTTAGACTTTCAAGTTTATTTATTTACAACTGGGTTTAATCAGACAATCATGTTGAAGATCCTGCCCTGGAAGGGGCTACCTTCCTGCAGAGTTTAACTCCAACCCTAAATGACTACTAGCTAATCCGGTTCAGCAGGGTTATTTGAATGAGGGGTTTTCAAACTGGTGTTGGGGGTCTGTGGGAAAATTCTGCAGAAAAATCTTTTAGAAAGTGTCTTGGAAACAAATCTAGGTGTCCATTAATCACATAAACGACAAAATGCATAGCTGCCTTAATTTGATCTCCCCTCACATTGATAATTTGGGGTTTTCATTTTTCAGAACTACAGGTACAAGGGTTGGAGCTTAAAGGGGTCATATGATGTGATTTCAAGTTTTCCTTTCTCTTTGGAGTGTTACAAGCTGATTGTGCATAGATAAGATCCCTGAAGTTGCAAAGACTAAAGTCTCAAAACCAAAGAGATATTCTTTATCAAAGTTAAGACTCTGCCACGCCCCCCTAAAATGGCTCGTTCTAACACGCCCCCACATATCTACCTCACTATGTGAAAATATTTGAATAATGCCGCCCAAACGTTCATGCAAAGAAAGAAGGCGTGGTTTCAGGAACAGCATGTTATTTTCGCTTGTGTATTTTATGCAAACGCTTATTTAAAATAGCCTATTAAGAAATGTAGCCTACTAAATAAACATCATTTTTGTTATTCCTCTATTTTTCAATAAACACTTGGCTGGGTGTAAATTTACAAGACCCGTACAAGGTTTAAAACGTCCATATAACATAAATGCGCTAGTAAACAAACCACAAGCCACTCAAAGTAATTCCTGCATCTTTTATTATAATTCTAATAACCTTTAGTCATTTCTTAAAACATTTGTATTTCATGTGTATATGAATATGTATAATCGCATACACATATATATTCTGTAAATAACCTCTTATCTGTTCATAGTTAATTTTCTTCAATTTAAAAGAAAAAAAAGATGCTTTCTGCACACCCTGGACGGCTACTGCATCAGTTGCTCCTGTGTGTGATCCGTGACCTCTTCTTAGGTCACACTGCCCAGACCCTTTAATGGCTATGTGATCTTCAATGTGCATGTATCCTCAGCGTGATTATGCATTTCTCTGCAGTGTGAAAGCGTGTCTGAATACTGTTCTATTATTAGAAGCTGTAATATTGACAATCTGAGCTGCAGAGCTTGAGGACTTAAAGATTTCCTTTTCCCAACCAGAAAAATATTTTTTTGCATGGTCCAATCCTTCATTCAGACACTGCTGAAACTGCCAAGAGGTGAGAACTGTGTGACTTTTACTCCACCTAGTGGACAATATTGGAAAGTGAGAATATTTACCATTCATCAGAGTACAACACCAGCTGCTATTGAAGCGAATTGGTTTGATGAATTTGACTGGAAAGATGAGACAACAGGAAACACAGGATGTGTAGAAAGCATGATTTGATTACACGTTAAACTCGTGTTAAACATTTGGAAGACAGAGATTCTTTAAAACTTTTTTCCATCTCAGAATGATAATTTCTTTCATTGTCCTTACGGTTATCAACATCGCTATACTTACCAGTCTTAAACATCAAAAATACAACGAGTTCTTCAATCGTTTTGTCCAATATGGGTGATTAAGGTAAAGCCAGCGCTGTGATGAATGATGCATGAATCCCACACTCATTCTGAGAAGACGAACAGATGCAAGATGGGCAGAGGGAGATGAAGGGGGCAAAATCTTTACCGATGGTCCTGAAAGAGACATAGACAGAAAGGTAACATAAAGGTGAAGGTGTTGGTGGTTTGGACTCAAGGTGACTGCAGATGAAAGGAAGAGAAAAAGGATGAATAACTCATGAAAGGTGCAATGTGATGAGAAGCCCTTTTAATTGATTGAGCAACAATTTGTGATGTGGGAGATGAGGGCTGGAGGACACTAGATTTACTTATAAGTTTGAGTGATGGAATATGAGCGTAAAAGGTATATCTACCGCCACACACAATAAACTTCTTGAAAGTCCTTGCATACAAAGTGATGACACAATAATTTTGTGTTGGAAGGGAAAAGCAGGAGGGCAAGGGACATTGAAAGATATGAAAGTCTTGTCTCTAATTTAAGTCCTAGAGGTACCAAAGATCTGAACATGTTGTATGTGGTCACAAAAAAAAACAAAAAGTCAAGCATAAACACCTGTCCAGCATTTGCGCTCAAAAACAAACAAGAAACACTGCAGCTTATAGCGATAACAGCAAGGACGATGAGAACAGTGACTGCAATTAATAACATCTCTTGTTAAATCAACAACAGAACTCCAGACCCACTTAGAGTTTAAAAATTGTTATAGGAACAATCATTGTATTAAAACAGACATTAGCACAGATCTCTCACCCATGTCAGAGTGCATGTTCGTCTTGCCTCGCCTCCATAGAAAGAGTGTTTTTTGGAAGGAGAGAGGGAGAGTGACTTGGAAAGAAATACAGGCAGTTTGGTTTTCCCTCTCCCTCGTCTCCATGTTGTCTCCTCTTTTAAAATGGAGCCTATCATTGATAGGTTCGTTGAAGTCGTAGTCACCTCTATATTTTGAGAGTCTGTGGTAAAAATGTTGATGAATTTTCAGTATATATATACTTTTCTTTTTACAATGTTGTATCATCTTCCTTCTTTGAAAGATTTTTTGCGTTATAACTATCTTCATCTTGTATCCATACATAGATATTTTATTGTGTCCCATTATGTGTTATATAAATAAAAGAGATGAGTGTATCGTCATCGACAGGTGTTGTCGTACGTTTGTGTATGTTGCTATCAGTAGGCTGAGGATGTACTGAGTGCATGTGTGTAAGTGGTAGAGGGCTTGTGTGTCTAAGGAGAGAGGGAGAGTGACTTGGAAAGAAATACAGGCAGTTTGGTTTTCCCTCTCCCTCTTCTCCATGTTGTCTCCTCTTTTAAAATGGAGGCTTGATATCGTTGATAGGTTCGTTGAAGTCATTGTCACCTCTATATTTTGAGTCTGTGGTAAAAATGTTGATAAATTTTCAGTATATATATATATATATATATATATATATATATATACTTTTCTTTTTACAATATTGTATCATCTTCTTTCTTTAAAAGATTTTTTTTGCGTTATAACATTATCTTCATCTCGTATCCATACATAGATATTTCACTGTGTCCCATTATGTGTTATATAAATAAAAGAGATGAGTGTATCGTCATCGACAGGTGTTGTCGTACGTTTGTGTATGTTGCTATCAGTAGGCTGAGGATGTACTGAGTGCATGTGTGTAAGTGGTAGAGCGCTTGTGTGTCTGTTATGTTGGTCTGGGCACTTATTTTTGCTACGGGTTTTAATACAGTGACCAGTCTGTATATGTATATGTATATGTATATATATATATATATATATATATATATATATATAATTTTTATTTATGTATATGTATTATTTCATTATAAGACATGAGAAGGTAAAGAAGTTCTAGTGAAATAAAAGATAAGCACAAGCCCCAATCTGGCTTCTGCAAAAGAGAATCCCTCCATTGGTGAGGTAAAACACATAACAAATCACTGTCATGCCTCTAGTGATAACCTTTCACATTATCAAGTATGCGCGCACACACACTCACACACAAACAACAGGAACCCAAGCATAAACCAAATAAGTGTAAGTTAAACTGACCTCTATTTTAAGGGCTTCCCTAGTCATGCCAGACAGGAGGTTTGTCATTACTTGCCCTTCCCTGCATTGGTCTCCATTGAACCTACTCTAAAAATGAGACAATTAGTAAATATTTGCCGGTAATACAGACTCAGCTCAAAATCTGAGAAAAAGAGAAAGATAGCAAAGGAGGTTTCAATATCTCTCTTTCTCCCTATCTCTTCCTACAGAACTACAGAAAAACGGGAAAGCTAAAGAGCATTTTGATTGTTTTACTTAAATTATTTGACTCAGGTATGTAGTATGTTACCTTCTCTTGTTGATTTTGGGTATTCTGGTAGAGTTAGATTCCACTATTTGATTCATTTATTTCCATTTTGATTACCTTGTGAGTGCCTGCAAGCTCAAACTAAGTGTGTTCTGTTTAAATGTTGATATGTACGGATGTGAATGTTCATGTTCATGTTTTCGTTGACTGAAACACACGTAAGCGCAGGCATGTTCACAGTTCGACAGGCCTTCAATGCTCTGTTTCTCCTGTATCTCTCCATCGGCGAGTCGGCAGTTTGATGTTGAAATCATCTCTTCCTGCATTTTTCTTAATTCAGGGAATAATCTCTGATGGCAGCAGTTGTCACCTCATCTTTCTTGTCCTCTCAACTCCGGTTGGCCTCATCTCTCCTTCTGTCTGTCCGTTCATCTCGGGAGGAGAGGGCAGAAATGGGGAAAGTGCTAGACGACAGCCTGACGATAGGGGGGAAGGTGGAAAGTATAAGGAAATATTTTTTCTCTTGTTTGCCCACATCCCCCTTTCTGTTCTCCTTTTCTTGTCCCATGCCATCCTGGACCTCATGCAGCGGTCCACTCCAAATGTTCCCAGAAGTTAGCGATCAATAGCATATCAATGTTTTACCTCATCTATACTAGCTTTTTTTGTTCATGCATTACCCCTTTCTCACCCTAATCCCTCTCCATCGCTGTCCTCCCTTGTGTCTCTCTGCCTCCCCTTCTATCTCTCCCCTCACCTGTCCATCACTCTCCTGAGCGCTCTCTCAATGTTCATGCGATGTCCAACCCTGGTTACACCCAAGTCCAGGTAGTCGTCCTTGGTTAGAGAGGGCAGGTGCGTGCCATCAATCTCATTGTCTAGGAAACGCTCCCTGTGCTCACCCAGGTTCAGGTAGCCCAGCCAATCTGCAACGTCATACTTGGTCCAGTATGGGAGTGGTTTGGAGGCGAAGGGTTTGGTGGGTGAAGGAGGAGGGAGGTGTGGATAACTCAGGCAAGTGGGTGGAGGAATGGGGTGGAGTGGTGGGGATGATGTCCTTGACAGGAAGTGGGTGGGGGACAAGGAGCGAGAGACCACCAGAGAGGAATTTGGAGGAGGTGGAGCCCCCGAGGGGGCAAAGAGAGGGGGAGAGGGAGAGAAGTAGGGGTCCCCAAGAGGATTGGCAGGTGAGGGTGGAGTAATAGAACCACGGAGGTCATACAAGCTGCTATAGAGGGGCGTGGTGGGGAGAATGGGAAGGGAAGAGGGGCGGGGAGGGCCAAGCTTGGGGCGGTCAGAAGGAGAAATTAATGGGCTGGGTGCTCGTCTGCGCTGAGCATGGTGTGACTCTGCCTTACGTGACTCTCGGCTGGGGATAAACTGAAACTCCAGGGCTTTGGTGCGGTAAACGGGCCGGTGTTTGGGTGAGGTTGGGTACGGCGAATATGAAGAGGGAGAAACAGGTGAGTGGGATCGGGGAGGAGGCTGGGATGAGGCAGCAGGGGGCTGAGGGGAAGGAGATCGAGCCCAATTTGGGTAGAGCGGCTGGGAAGAAGGGGTGGGGGAGGGAGACAAGGCAGGCTGAGAGAGCTGAACAGGAGATGGGGAGCTAGAGCGGACAGAGGGAGGACTCAGTGCACCTGTGGAGTCCTCTGAGAACCTGAAATGAGAGAAAATGCAACACAAATTAAGGCAAAAGAATAAGAGAGGACAAAAAGAGAGAAAAGAGAGAAAAGTAAAGAGACAGTAAAGAGAATGATAGAGCGGTATAGTGCAGCAGTTACCTGTGTCTGATGAGGGACAGACAGACGTACATGGACAGTGCAATAAAAAGCAGAAATCACAAAAGAGAGGAACAGTTTAAACAGACACAGTTACACAATACACACACAGAGTTCATTGGTGTTTGAGACACTGATAATAAAATGGCAGTTACAAAACTATTTTCACACACTATGTTACTCTGAATATCACAGGAGTTCTTTAACTGAATGGCTCATAATTTGATTATGACTCATGGCATACCAAATCACACAATGCTCGTGCAGCTTAGAGATTCTCATGCCACATGCCTCCTTTCAAGGCCACCATGCAGACATTAACACACAGTCATGCACATATACCTATACTGATAACACACAAATACCTATGTCTGCTCAGTGATCTTTGAGCTCCCCAGTTCTCTGTTCCTTTGCTCCTCTGGTGTAATTTGGTGCTTAGTTCATTGATGATGCTTGCCTTCATACCGGACATGGGAGGATGTAGTTTACGTGCCTCCACATATGTCCCCCCAGTCTGGACCCCTCCCTCCCCTATGGACTGCGCTGCTCCGGCCGACCCATCACCCCACAGCGGTTTTATCTCTGGAGTGCGGGGCCGGTCAAAGTACATTACAGAGGAGCGAGCAATCCCTGGCCCTTCCCTCATTCCATAGCCATCACGGGCATTCACATCCTCCTCCTCTCCCTCTTCTGCCTCATCCTCCTCCTCTTCCTCCTCCCTACGACGGTGGTATGCAGGGGGTGCCGTGCTGGTTTGGCGTCGAAGATCTCCAGCCCGGCTCCCTTCTCTGTACCTCTGTGTTTTTGGGTAGGTGGATGCAGTGCTTGCGGCTTTGGCATTATGCATTTCAAAAGTCTGTCCATCAAGATAGCTCATGTAAGACTCTAGAAATTCTGTCCCACTTGCTCTGTCGGCCTCTGTTGCCCCACCTCTCTCTCCAACTCCACCTATGCTACCCATCCCTGCTCTCTCCAACCTTTCTCTGACCCCACTACCACTGAGTGCAAGGATGTTGTCTAAGTGATGGTCGCTGCTGCTTCGGCTGTCCAGCTCCTCAATCCCAGAATCCACCACTGTCTCCTGGGACTCGCCACTCTTAGCTGCAGCGGCACTGGGTGGTGGATGATGCTCTGCACTGGGCCGCCTGCTACCCCCTGTAGCTACTGTGGAGACGGTTGCTAAGCGTGTATGTGGTGTGACAACAGCAGCAGCAGCAGTAGTAGAAGAGATTACAGTTGTAGAAGCAGTTTTGGAACAGCTTGCGGTCACAGTTGAGGCGCCTCTGAGAGATACAGAAGTTGCTGGGGTGGATGTTGCTGCTAGAGGGCCCCGGTAGGCAGGTGGAGCTGGAATAGAGAGAGGAGGTGGTGTGGGAGAAGAGGAGCGTCTGGCTGAATTTGTACTGTTATATAAGTGCTGTGACTGAGATAGGCCAAACGGTCTATGGTAGGAGGTGGGTGGTGGCGGAGGTGATACAGAAGGAGGTGGAGGTGGCCCAGAGGGCTGCAAGGTGGAGGCGGAGGGAGGCGGTAGTGGGTTGGGGGAAGATGGAGAGGGAGACGGGGCTGACTGGGTGAGGTTGGCGACCTCACTGTCATAGGAAGTAAGGCTGGAAGTTGTGGAATCTCCTGCCTGGGGTGAGGGCAGGGGTGTGTGAGGCGGGAACCCAGACATAAAGGAGTCTTTTGGAGGGGGAGGAGGTGGTGGGGGAGGTGGTGGTGTAGGATGAAACAAGGACGTGTAGGGGCTTTTGTTGGAGGTGGAGAAGGTGGTGTCAAAGAAAGGATGTATGCCCCAGCCTCACTCTCCATCCTCAAGAATGAGGGGCGTCGAGGCTGCTGGGGCGTTGGCTGTGTGGACTGCTGCTGTAACTGGGCGTGAGCTTTTTCTATCTCTCTTTCCCTCTCTCTTTCTCGTGACCTCTCTCTCTGCCGCTCTCGTTCGCGCTCCTTGTAGGTGGGCTGATAGTGCTGAGACTGATAGTGGTGCGTGTGGACAGTTTTATCCTCAGAGAAACGAACCCTTAGGCCTTCTCTGGGAGCAGAGGTGCCAGCAGCCTCCCTATCTGCACGCTCTCCACCCCCTGCTTCCTCACTCCAGCTGCTTCCTGCTCCACGCAGGATCCTGGGAGATGGAGGCCGAGTGGATGTGGTGGTGGCAGCTAGCGATGAGGATGTAACCAGGTACGAGGAGGAGCTTGAGGACTGAGCAGCAGAGGTTGCAGAGGAAGACGAGGCCATTGAGTAGGAGATGTGTGACGTTGGTTGTGCAGTGGATGAGGGAAAGGCCCCAATGCTGGACAACTGACGGCTAAAATGATGTTCAGTGGTCCTCTCCCTGCGTATGCGACCATCATCTTTCAAGGCACGTTCCCGTGCAGCCAATGCCAAGCCTAGTGGGGATGAAGGGTCCAGAACTTTCCCCGTTAATGGGTGAATGAAAGTTGTGGTGGAGGCTTGCTGCTGCTGCTGCTGTTGTCGGCTTCCCGCCCCATAGAAGTCAGCAGGTACAGACTTAGGCTGGTAATCCCCAGGAGGAGCAGGTGAGGAGTACTCAGGCAGGCCAAAGGCAGGAGGCATACTGCGTGTGTGGTGGATAAAAGTATCACCTGAGAACATGCCTTCATCTATAGATTTGGATGGTCGCAGGCGTGGTGAAGGCTGGGAACTCAGCTGCTGTTGGGAAGTCTGGGTCCGTCCTCCCACTTCTCCTGCTCCACCCAACTCTTCCTCAGCAGAAAGAAAAAAGGAGGCACTCTTCCGTCGTGCTTCATGGAATCGTTCTCGATCCCTGCGAGCTGCCCCTACTATGGCAGCACCAAACTGGCTGGTAAAGTCCAAACTCTCTTGAGTATGAAGTGATGGCAGTGATGGGGGTGGGGGAGCAGGTATAGATGGAGGGGCTGGCGGTGGAACGGTGGGTGCAGGTGGGGGAACAACAGGTTGGGGTTTAGAACTGTCACTCACTCCTGGAGGAGGCGGTTCAGCCTCCATGCTGCTGCCTTGGCTACTGCGACCACTGCTGCTGGTGGAAGGGGCTTTAACGATGATGGTTGGGATAGGAATAGAGCTCTTCTCCACTGACCCCTTCCCTTCCAGTGTGCCCTGGCCCTGACGCAAATCCTCTATCTTTGACTGCTTCACCAAGGGCCCCTTCCCTCTCCGGGCACCACCTTTCGGCACACCACCTGCCCCTGCTCCTGCCCCTATCACACTGCGGTCCATCCTGGAAGGTTGGCTCTGAGTAGTCTGCTGCTGTTGGGGAATAACAGTAGCGACACTAGTGGGTGGGACTGCATTGCTGTAGCCCCTTCTCAATGCTGCAGCCTTGGCTCCTGGTGCTCCTCCAGCCCCTGCAAGGTCCCCTGTGTACCCAATCACCTTCCTGGAGGCAGTCCTGCTTGGCACAGAGGGGTGGGCTTGAGCATGGGAATAAGGGAGGTCCCCTGTTCCGGACCCTGCAGGTGGTCCAGGGGACCTGTCTCTGGGTCCATGAGTGACATGCACTGACTGCGAGTAGAGCTGAAAATGTGCAGAAGAGGAAGTGGATTGGGACACAGAAACAGACGGCTGCTGGGATGTCTTGCCCCTAAAGCCAAGAGGGGGAGCTGAGGAGAAAGGGGGCTCAGGGGGAGCTGTAGTAGGGGGAGGAGGGATGTCATCTGGGCCAGGTACTGAAAGACTGCGGGCAAACTTCATGGCTGGAGGATGAAGGAACTGCTTCTCCTCCTCTAGAACCCCTGCAGAAAAAGGAAACCAAAAAGAGAGAGATGAAATACATTTTCAAGGAAATAAATGAAGGAGGTATGAATAGAAAAAAGTGTTACAAAACAACAAAGACAAAAGAAAAATATGTTTGAGAGAGAAAGAGAATGTACATCAGCTGTATGTGAGAAAAGAGAAAGAGATGAAAAGATATCTTTATTTCCTAAAAATGAGCAGAGGGCAATAAAATGGGATATAGAAATGAGACCATCTTGTAGTATGTCTGTCTGTCTGCTTGTCTGTTTTTACCATAACTGGGCAATCTCCCAGCAGTAACATGTACAAGCCATTCACCTCTCTACTTCAGCAATGCTGTTTTGTGTCAGTGCAGACCACTTTTAGTTACAGTGTGTTATACAAGGACAAATGCAATACATACATAAAGTCATCCTGATAACAGAAGAAGTGACACAAATACACATTAGCTACATCTCATGGCATGCAAAATAAACAAATGCTGTTGTTTTTTTTAATGTAAATAAAGTTAACCAATTGTGCAACCCAAGAAAGTGAACATTTTAATATTGAACATTTAAGCACATGTTGACATTGCCAGTTTACATATTTAAGGCATGGAACAGAAAACATTTCTAATCATACAGATAGTGTGCTAATAATCTTGGGGGTTATAAATGGGCTGTAAATGTTATAGTCCAACCAAGAATGAACACTGATGCTGAGCACCAGAAGAAATAAATCTCATTCACATTTGTTACGGCAATTGGTCTCTCCAGTAACCCAGTCAAACCCCTGACAAGATTCTTATGGACTGTTTCAACAAACTGAAATGTACGGTCTCTATTCTAGAGCAATAAAGAATTACAGATGATAAGCATTAAAGCAAATCCACAGCTGCACCCTTTTGAGTGCACTAAATGCACGTGCCATAGACGTACAGCAGTATGGTTAGACAGACAGGTGGGCAGACAGACAGATGGACTAACAGACAGCCTCACCGATGGACTTCTGTCGCAGCATACCGTGCGGGGGGCCATGGCCAGACATAAATTGACCACGGTCGTATCCTAACCCTGCCCCAGATGATGTCATCCCCATTCCTGCTTGGTCAAAACTTGGCTGCCAAAATACATGGAGAGAAAGAACATTATACACATTATGCACCAATTTTTTAAATAATTCAATTTTGCTAAACAATTTCTGCAAAAAATATAGCTCAGTAAATCCAGAGCACCATCTAATATATCTCATTTCATAATCATCTTAGTGATCTTTAATAACTGCTTCAATGGTCTCATACACAAACACACCTCATTATAAAAGCCTCTGCCCCGTTCTCTTTTTATCCCCTGAACCCGGGGCCCTGGGGCCTCATTGGTACTGATAGTCTGCTGTGCTGCTGCTAAAATCTCATCCAGTTTATCTGACATCGAATAAAAGAGAGAGAAGGAAATAAATAAATTATAATTTATAATAAATAATAATTTACTAACTATTTATTCTCAGCTTGAATTGATTTAAAGGAGATGTTTACCCAACAAATAATAACTCTGTCATCATTGCTCACCCATGTGTCTTTGAAACCCATTCTTTCTTCCATGGAACAAAAAGGGATTTATTTATAGCAGAATAACAAAGCTGCTCTTTTCCATACAATGAAAGTAAATGCCTGTCAAGCATGATTTTCAATGAATAATAAAATAAATTTCAGCCTATACTAGGGGTGACCTCGAATAGGCGAAGATTCAATGCTTCGATAGGAGGAGCCTGATTCGACTACCAATCTCACAGTCGAATATTCGCGGTTGTTGAGTTGCGCTGCAGTAAAGCGCTTCATTATAGTACTACGGTGGTTATCTCTTCAGAGCGCAGCGCGAGCAGGACAAACAACAATGCAGAATATTAATAACTATGACTGGGACTGTCATATACATAACAATTATAATGAGAACACTATTATAATAAAACGCTGTGAATTTTTAGTTTAGTTGCTGTGTTTCTGCACGTTGTTGCGTGAAGAACTCGTCCACAAAAGGAGTTCATTCAGAGCCGCGCAGACACGTTCATGTGCATTCGGGGCATTTTGTGCAGATAGTCTATAAGTCGTAATATTAACGTTATGTTGTATAAATAACGAAGCGTATTCTATATGAGATAAATGATGAGTTAAACCCCATTGATTAAAAACCTGCTTTCAAATGCTTCATTCTAGTCATCTTCAGCACGCACAGCTCAAAACAGAAATGCAGAACATTAATAACTACTGTCATATTACATAACGTTATAATGAGAGCACTATTCTAAAATATTTGTGAATTCTTAGGGTTTCGCTGACGTTTAATGTTAACTACCTTTTAATCAAAACACAAAACATTATTTACCCCGTTTGTATCTGCGAGGCGTCCGTTACCCATTTTCCCTGTGTGTTAACGTAATTATGACTGTC